CTGAATTTAACTACAATTTGATGTTTTGCAATTAGGTTTGTATATATATATATATTAATATGGAAAGTCAATGTCTCGCTTGCCGAGCATCAAACTTCATTCTGAATGCACGTAGAAAAGTGATTGTTTAGAACCTCAAGTAATTGTCGTTGGGGCCAAATCCATACCTCCATAGAGTTATAAAAAATTGTTGGGGCCAAAACCGGAGCTGGATTATCCCTGCCTTCATTATTAGGCCTCTAATTTGAAAATGAGAGGGATTCCCTCTCCAGCACCCCATGGCCTAATGACAGTGACTGTGATACAGCCATCAATCAATGTGCTATTAAACTTTATTCCCATCGAAGCCAGAAACCCACAGTTGGTTGGAGGAATTTCTTTATGTGACCTACTTTGACTTTTGATATATATTTATTTTATTGCCTCTACCAACATTGAAAATAATTTTTATCACAAAATGTGTGGTATTTTAAAGTCTAACTCTATCCCTCCTGCCTGGATTTGTGCAGTATACTTTAACACTTGCAGTAGTAGTTTAGTCGCCTGGCTGTAATATGTGCCCACTTCCAGGCACACTTAACATAGTTAAACAGTGAATGGATGCACTGCACTGAAGTAAATACTAAAGGAAGTCACTCAATATGATAGCTGAATGGTTGAGAACCTCTATGAATTTTTAAAGTGTGTTTCTTGAACTGCCAAAGTTTTTAAAATGAGAAAAAATTCTACCACGGCTACAGTATTCTAAACTGGTGCGGTACTTGAGGGTTTTTCACTGTATATTATCATATGAGCCTTTGATACTGTAAGTGTTAAGTGGGTCAAACATATATCTGGCTGTTGAACAGACATTATACGCCCTAGAGTAAAGTAGGGTGTCGCGTCCACCTGGTCTATGCGTCCACTTGCTGTATTTCGTTAATCACTGGTGTTGGATCGATTCCGGTCGTGTAATTGAAAAGTATAAGCAGTTTCCGTTTCATTTCGCATTTTACTTTCGTTTTGTACACTCTGTAAGTCACTATTTTCTGGTATTTAAAAATTTGTCTTCTTCAGTAGCGAGTTACACTAGCGGAGACGCTTATTTGCTAGTCGGTTACTTGGCAACTAATGAACTCCAAACGCCCTCACTTGCTTTTATCAGCCTTTACAAAGGTTCTAAAATATAATTTTGCCCATTGTGCCATTCAACAATGGAAATTTGAGCCACAAGGGGGGTGGACGCGCTCACCATACCAAGTTTTAGTATAGTCTGGTCATGCGTCCATGGGTGGTGGCACTCACCGACTGAGTAGATTCAGTATGGTGAATGAGTTCACATCCTGTACAAATGCATAATATGTCATTCACTCAGCCACTTGTAGACATCTATTACCAATCAAAGGTTAATTTTTGTGAAAATTTTTGGTTTTTTAATCCCATTTCATTAGATGTAGAGATCTAGATCTAGATCGTCTACATTATTTTTAGTTTGTTTTTGTAACATTAAAACCCCCCCCCAAAAAAGTCTTTCAAGTCTAGATGGCCCTTTAGAGTGGCTATGAATATGTGAAGTGTGCTGACAAAAGATCTTTCTGGCTGAAACCCGAGAAGTGCACGCCCACTATTTCATAACCCCCTTGTACTTACCATCCATCCACATATTTTGAATACATAAATTTACTTGCATTTAAATTACTGAACATTACAAACTAAAATTGTAAATAAATCTACTTAAGTATAAAGATATTTGGTCTGTAAATTAATAAATAGAGTCTACATGTAAATGTTTTTGACACTTTATCTAATGTCAATGTTAATAAATGAAACATCTTAACATAGGTCTAAAGGTTTTATTCATTTTTATTTCTTACATATAATGAAGAATGAGTGAGTGGATAATAATAAGATGAAGAATGACAGACTGGGTGAACAGAGATCTAGATTCTATGTTTAAACATCATTTATTTCTTATATTTATTAAGAATTAGGGGGTGGTGGCACTGACCAGACCTAGTGGATGCATTCACCAGCAAAGTGGATGCGTCACCAGACCAAAGTGGCCGCATTAAAATGCAATGTAGAATGAAGTCTATTAAGCATACAGAGATGATAACTAAGTCTGGTGATGCGTCCAATTCTGCCGGTCACGCCGATACTTTCAAAATTTGGATCGATACGAAAATAGCCAAATCATGGCTTTCTAAAGGCCTTAAGGTGGACGCGCATCTGACTTTACTCTATATATATATGACTTAAAAAACCATCGCAAATCAAAACAGTTTTCAAGAAAATCTCCACCTTATAATTAATCTTTGAAAGTTGAAGCTTCTTTCAGAATTTTTGCCATAAAACATCAAATTTATGTGACAATACCGAAATACAGGGGGATATGCTCCTCTAACCCCCCCCCCCATGCAATTAGTAAACAGGGGGGGGAAAGGGGCTCAGATTTTTCTAAATGCGTGTGTATTCCTAAAATACAAATAATCATCATAATAGTTCACATAAAAACATCAAATATTTTATACCATGTATAAAACTAATAATATGTGATGTGATGGATATAATAAAGCTGATACATTCATGTAAAATGGATAAAAATGAGCTAGAATATTCCTTTGCATGAACCTGACCATGAGACGGGAGTGAAATAAAATGACACCCAAAATTCAAGTGAAGCCTATCAAATGAAACATGTCATATGGCAGATTAAATACGAAGAGTATCATGATAGTGTAAGTGGTTTAAATGGAGTATCCAAAAAGAGATGCTCAAGATTATTGACTCTATGGTATTGTACATGTCAGTAATCTAGTGGTTAGTTGTTGCTTCCCGAGTCATTATAATCATGCAGTTGCGGGTTCGAGGGTTCAAGAAGCCTTTGGCCCGTCATTGTCACGCATTGTGTCCCTGGGAAAGGCACATTACAGGTGTGAATGGGTACCCACCAATAGACATACAAAAAGATTAATTGTCAGTATGTCAGTAGAGTTTTAGTGATAAAATGACAGCTTGCTCTGTATGCTTCCCAGGAAGTTTAGATTTTAGAATGCTATAAATTAATTGGTCTCTGGTCAGCTGGGGTACAATAAATTGAATAATATTATAGATTGTAAAGCTCGTAGAGCTTACTGTTGAGTGCAATTTCCTGTAGATACAAATATGCTGTCTATTATTATTATGATATTAAATTATTATTAATTATATTGTATTATTATTACAATTACCCTAGAAAGCTTTGGCTTCTGTAACACTTGATACTGTCAATGGACATTGAAAATGCCCTTAGAAAAGAAATTATTTGTGATGTAGAGGTTCACATTGTTCATGTTCAGTACAGCTTGGTATTGGTAGTTGTTTTTCCTTAAAAACGAACTTGTTCTGCATCTCCCTTTTTTATGTTTTTTCCATTGTATCTGCTGGCTTTTTTAAAATTAGGTTTAGTTGCCGACTAGTCTAGTGGATGCATTGCAGCTCTTACTTTCTGTTTTCATAATGAATTTGAAGCTTTTTAATAATTAGTGCATACTACCCTGGGTTCATCTGGCCCAAATTTATGCTGTCAGTCTCTGAAAATTCAAAAAGAGGCCTTCGCTTTTGCACTGATTGCAAATCCTGTAATCTGTTTCTCTAAATCTGAGCTTTTCAGGTATCTTATTACACTTACAGCAATGTTTTGATTTTTTACAGTATTTGTATAATTTCTGTCTTTCACCAGATGATATAAAAGAATTGTGTGAAAAGAAGAGTTGGAATGTCTTCCCATAATCCCTCAGCCCCACCTGGTGCGGGGTCAGGATCAGCACCATCTCCATCTCTGCTGGCTGCCAGCTCTTTTAGTGAGTTGAGATTGTCTTTGATAGAATACTGTCGGACCTGTTGAAGGGAAACCTGTATAAAACTGAAACCTTTCTTAACGGAATCTCCGCGCTCCCCCCTTGATATATTCCTCTTTAATTACCAGTATAAAACGGAAACCTGCCCAACGCGGAAACGGAAAAAAAAATCCTCTCCCTTCCGAGGTTTTCACCTTTCTAAGAAGGAAAATGCTTTGCCTGCTCAACCCTGTTTTGAAACAAAACTCGCAAGTTTGGTTCTGCCGGCTCTACACTTAACGCTATCGTTGTGCCGATGGGCGAGGAAGAGGAGTAGGGGTGCAATTTGGGGGTAGATGTTACCCCATCTTGTGAGCCCTGAGCGATGCAGATGGTCAGTGTAGTGGGGGTGTGAAATCTCACGACTTCGCGTGAGAGTGCTCAAGTAGCGAGCCACTGCGGAAACTTTCCTGGGTAGCCAGAAGCCAGAGGTGTGAAATTAGATTGACCTATGCCTGGTCCTGATCGTACGGCCAGCCGAGAAAAGAGTTCCTCGAATCGTTGTATACACGATGGCAGTGAGGGATGGCATTGGTGGGTGGGTTAAGGGTGGAATCGAAGGAGATGTTCAAACGTTTCTGTTTTTAATAGGTCAAACAGTGGTCCTTTGAAAGACTAGCACTGGTGGTAATTGGAAGTAAGACTGACGCATGTCATTATCAGACAGGATAACAATTGAGAGGTGTGAAGTTTTGACCACTGCTTGCGGATCGGAACCGGCTGGGCCTTTGAACCCCAACCTCCATATCCCCCTAAATTCCCCTGTCAAAAACGGAAAATGTCTAAGACGGAATTTTTTTCTGGCTCCCTTACGATTCCGTCTTACACAGGTTCGACTATATATTACTATATATAAATCCACAGGGTACACTGGCACTGTTGTTTTAGGTGTTTGCAGTGCTTGTATCTGTGGGATTAACTGATGGTTTTGTCTTTTCTTTGAGTATGTGATGAATATTGTAATGTATCTCAAGAACCACATCACATTGCATAGATCTTCCTAGTATCCTGAAAAAGTAAAGTTTGTCAGAATTGATATGTTCTTGGATAGACCTCAGTTTTGCTTAAAACCAGATGATTATGATTTTGATTTTCTCCTCAGATGGCACTGAAGGGGTTGTGAGTTTTCCATGGAGACGAGAGCCGTCTCAGGACGTTGTGTCTGCGGGGATCAGCCGAGATGCCAAGGCTGGCGAGTATATCCTGCAGAATCTCTTTGTGGAGTTTTGTCGCATCACTGAACGGAGGATTGAGCTGGTCTTGTCAGAGCCCTTGGTATTACATTTACCTTATTTCAGCTTTGTAATTATTTATAATTAATACATATATATCATTATTGTTGCAATAAAAATGAGTAACTTTGTTTGATGCTGGATGAATAAAAACAGTGAAGCTACTCATTTTTATTGCAACAGTGATGATATAGACCAGAATTTGATATGTCATTTATTTTTTAGTCTCTAGTGGTATGATTTAGTCACTTCAGTTTTGATGTCCGAATGACATTTGGAGGCTTTTCCTGTTGTTGCTTTGTTCTTGAATTGACAAGACTTAATAGATGAAATGTTATAAAATTGGTTAAAAATGGACTGCTATACTTTATAAAGAGTACAGCTGTAGGTTCAAAGAACGTGGGACTCTTTTACAATATGAGATTAGAATAAAGAGAAGGTATTTGAGTGGATTCTTGAAATTATTTCTCAGGCAAGTTTGTATTTAACTCTTCATGTCCATAGAGGATTTTCATTTTGACCGAAGCCTCCCAGGGACTGATCCTGTACAGCAGTAGGGTGGGTTACAAAAGTCTATATAACTTTCAATTTACTAGGCCCACATCAAAACTTTTGGTATGTTTTTGTTCAGAAATGAAAGTTGCATTTATTGGTGTTCATTTTAGATGCCTTTATTGAAAAATAAAAATAGACTATTGAAGTAAATGGCCATTAGCACTAAAAAAGTTGCAATATTACATAACACCGTTCACACAAATATGCGTGTAACTTTATAAAACTTGAACACAGAGCCAAAGTAAAAGAAGCAAAAATGTTGATAAACATTCTAGGATTACATCTATGATGGCTGTAGCTAATTTGAAGCCCATCCTTTTGAAATACACCAAAACAAAAAAATGTTGTATCAGAACCCACATTCGGCATGAAAAGTGTAAACAAAGCTAGATCTAGATCTGGATTTCTATCCACTTTGTTATACAATAAATCAAAGGCTTACATTTATAGTTTTGTTTGAATATAGCTAAACATGAAAACTGTGTCTTTATGCACATTTTCAAAGTAATTTTGAGTAATTCTTTGAAGTTTCCAGGTGTAAGATGAGGTGTACAATAACCACATATATAAAAAAGTCACATTCACATAGAATAGGCCTACATATTACGATGAACTAACCTGAATAAAGCCTCAACAAGATCCAACATCTAGATCTAGATTTATAATATCCAAATGGAATGGAAATTTCTCTCAGTATAATCCAAGCAAGAAAACTGTCAATATAATTATTTCAGGAGCAATCTTCAGCCACGATAATCTCCCTAACCAACACAAACAAATTAGACACAGAAAATTAGCTGTTTGGAGACAAGTCATCAAATCTAGCATGCGCTCTCGCTCAAATGCTACAAAATGAAATTACAAACAGAAAAAGACCTATTTTCAGCATTTGCGACCATAATTTCGGTTGATATTGTGAAATATTACTTTCGCGTGTATTTAATGAAGGCTAGTGTAGCGAGCCGTTGTCAGCGGCTTGCCGGCCGAACCCACTTCATGCCGAGGTGCTGCCACCGGCTCACCGGACATGAAGAGTTAAATATGACGACATTATTGAAAGTGAACTGGAATGTGAATGACAATGTTTCAGGGGAGATTATTATTTTTTGGTTTTGTTTGATTGTTTATTTGATTACTCATAATCATTCCTTTTTTTTTTTGTGTCAACAATTTTGTTTGTCTTTTTTTCAGGAGAGGCCACTTTCTAAATCATTACAGAGGGGTGAAGATGTCCAGTTTGATCAGGTAAAGAAAGAAGTTTTGGGAGGCTGTCTTTTATTTTCTTTAGAAAATGTGTTTCCCTTTTCTTTCCTGGTCTGCTGCTGCTTTAGCCTCCTATAGAAAAGTGGAAAGAAAGAGAATAGTATCAACAAGCTAGTGCAGGATTAGGAAAGGTAGAAAGTGTTTGTTCATGGCCTGTACCCTGATTCAGGATGAGAAAGGCAATGATGATGACTGCTTTAGCATGGCACTCCATGAACTTTGTTAGTTATTCTAAGTAAGGAATAAATAGAAAACACACCCCTTTTTGCTAAGATAAAGCTGGTCCAAGTAGGTGGAGAATGAGGAAAACTCACAAAAAGAGACAAGTTCAGTTATGTTCCTTTTGGGAATTTGCGCTACAGTTGTCTCTACTGCTGTTTGATGTAATACTGAACCTAAGTTTAAAGCATGCTGTAACCTTTATTGTGTTGACGGTAATATAAACTCAGAATCGTAGGAATTTTCCTCTTGCTGCAAATATGTGACTGTCTTCCTATGCCTAGTTAGAAAGGTAGGATCAAAGTTCTATTTTTTAATTTGACTTTTGGGAGTTATAGAGGTGCCTATTATATATGCGTTTTTGATTTCTTTTTGTCTAAAAAAATGCAAAGGTCTGTCTGATGTGATTTTAGCTCTCTTGAAATAATGCTAATAATGCTAGACTATGGAGTGGCTTCTAATCTGCAACCAGGTATTCTTAAACTTTTGTTGTTTGTGGAGTTTATATGATTCCTCACCTGTTAATTATGGGTCTTTTGGAAACAAACGTTAATTGGGAAATCATTGGTTCTATATTGCCTTTTGGAGTTGAAAGGAATGTATTTGTATGTAGTGAAAGTACTATCCTCAGGCTTTGTTCTACTGTACTTTTTGTAGCAATGCTGGTGTCATTTTCTGCCTTGTGTTGGCCACAGGTGCTGAGTGCGTTAGGCAACGTGGCGGAACACTGCCTGCCCTCCATCCTCAAGACACTGTTTGCCTGGTACCAGCGACAGATGAAAGATGACAGTCCTTTTTTGGACTCTCGTCAGAGACATCGTAGTAAAGGGTATGAAGTTACTTTCACTTGTACATGTGCATGTGTTTAGTCTATTGGTTTTTGAAAAGATTATACAGAAATAAAAAGCTGTTTGTAAAAGAAATAAGTATAGAGGTGGTTTGTGGACAGTTTGAAAATAGAGTAATAATTTTTGTTAATTTTCTCATTTGACATATTGTCAAAATAGTTGAAATGAGAGAACCACCTTTCCTCTCATCGCTAGCTACACCCCCTTTCACCCTTTATTCTGACTGACTGTTGGAGATTTTTTCCGATCACCCCCTTTCACCCTTTATTCTGACTGACTGTTGGAGATTTTTTCCGATCACCCCCTTTCACCCTTTATTCTGACTGACTGTTGGAGATTTTTTCCGATCACCCCCTTTCACCCTTTATTCTGACTGACTGTTGGAGATTTTTTCCGATGAAAATGCTTAATTTTTCTTTTTTTATCTACCCCCCTCCTTTCTTGCTTTCTTCACTAACAAAATACTGACTTTGATTTCGTTTTCTCTTGTTACAGGAGCAAGGACTATCTTTGTGAGAGGAGAGATGTAAGTTATTCAGTACTCACAAATTTTGATTGCCTTCAGTAATTAAAAATACAAATTTTCTCTTCACTGCCTTACAGCATTGAAAGGTGCTTTTTTAGGGGGTTGGATGGGGTGGAGGAAGAATCAAAACAATACCATGGTTTTCCTTTTTATTTTTTCATTACATTCCTTCTTTAACTCATTCGCTACATATTTTTTTCGGCTTGTGGGCGAATTTTTTTTTCGGGAGGGCGAATGAGATGATGACTAGTGGGCATTTAAAAAGTCTTTGGGGGCACAAATTCAAATAAATATCAACATATTATATACCAATATTTTCAGTGTGGTTTGTAGAATACATCTGTAATGTTTATTTATGTATTTTTCAACTTTGGTTCCTGTAAGAGGCGATTATGCAACACAATTTTGATTGGATGCGGATAAAATATGAAAATAAAAACTTTATAATCTTTGGAGAAACTCAAAAAATATGTTTGCACCTTGTCAAATGATACATCAAAATAACCATAAATGAATATAGAACTGGAAAATATTGAAAAGTTTGCACTTATTTAACATTCCATAATATTTGTACATTTGGATCATAACATCCGATATTGAAAAAAAATAAATTTGTGAAGCAGCGTGGTGGAATCAGGCTCTCGCCAAAATGATGAAATCGAAGAAAAACTGCTTTTTCTCCCTGCTTAGCAATTTTTATAAAATTTTTGTTTTTGGCTCAACACTTTTATGTCCATTTACAAACACTTTCCTTTTAGGATTTCATCGAAAACGTTGATTTAAGGCACAAAAATATAAATTTACAGTTTCCATGGACTCTCCAGCTTTGGAATTTACCAAGCTTTGGTGGCCATTTTCTCGCTAATTTTACCTCTTAAACCAGGTGACCCCCACCTCCTTCAATCCAAAATATCTCCACTTCTATCGAAGATGGAAGGGTAATTTTTTCATCGAAAGCAAGACAAATGAACAAGCTTTAAGATGATATCAATAACTCAATATGCCCAAAAATTGACGAGAGCCTGATTCCACCACGCTGCCTCATATTTTTATAATCTTGAAAAACGATCACAGACAGAAAAAAACCCACTCATATCTTATATAGAATTATTTAGAATTGCATTTGGAATAAACCTATACATGTCTTGAGTTGCACTTTTTGCGTAATTTCATAAAAAAGTAGTGGTTTTGGGGAGAAAAAAATATTTTGACAATTTAGATCTAGACCTAGATCTAGCACTCAAAAATATTGATTTCTCAATAACAGTGCATTGGCAATATGAGTCCAATCATATCAATATTATAAAAAAAATGTCCTACACTTCTTTAGTGGGCAAAATAATGATAGATTTTGTTGTGTAAAATTACTAAGACTGGTGTCCGGGCTATAATTTTGGCATTGCGATAAAACAAAGTCGAATAAACTACGAAATCGCGTTTCATAACTGAATTTAAACTTCGGACTTTCAGTGGAAATGCATGACCCGAAAGTCAACATTATATTATGACCTTTATTTTAACATGGATATATGGATTGGAATAGAATCTAAGCTAAAATTGAACGTCGGTTCTCGTACTGACGGCACTTTAGCCGCGCCGCCCCCCACGACTTGGCGTAGCGAATGAGTTAAAAGAAATTCATCTTAAAGTTCATTTCAGTTTTGCCTGTCTTACGTAATTTGTTTGGATTTTTGTTTCAGCTCGCTGTTGAGTTTGTGTACTGTCTGGTGCTCATTGAGGTGCTATCTAAGGTAAGTGCAGGATGATGAGACTTGTGTGTGCTCTTGATAATGATATATATAGCGTTTGTATAGTGCAAATTCAGACTCAGCAGCAAGCTCTATGCGCTTTACAATCTATATTATTACCCCCAGCTGACCTGATAGCATTCTGAAACTATCTCAACTTCTTGGGAAGCAGACACTGCAAGCTGCCTTTTTGTAGGCGCTAAAACATTACAGTATGTGGCTGGTTTTCAGGTGTTCTGATGTGGTTTGCTCCTTCTTTCCTATCTGTCTTTCTTATCTCTCCTCCTGTTTTGTTGATTACTCCTTTGTAGCACCACTAGTCTTCAGCACTTATATGATCTAATTGTGTTGCAAGCGCCTCAAAATTCTTCTAGAACTTAAAGAAGTTACAATGGGAAAGTTATGACCATCTGGTTCATGTGTTTTTTGCTTTTTGATATCACTCTAGACATATAATAGTGGGTGGTAGGCGGGTACTCTGGTGTAGTTTGCTCCTTTTTTCCTTTCAAACATCTATTGTCCTGATCTCTCCTCCTTCTTTCTTGTGTTTGTTACTCTCTTGTAACACCTCTAATCTTCAGCACTTATACATGACTTATTGTGTTGCTAGTGCCATAAAACTTTTACTGTGGGTGGTTGGCGGGTGCTCTGGTGTGGTTTGCTTCTTCTTTTCTATCAAACATCTATCGTCCTTATCTCCCCTTCATCTTTTTTATAATTTTCTGGCGCTCATTTGACCTTATGCAGTTGCGAGCGCCGCAAAACTCTTACTAAAACTAAAAAAGGCATATAATAACACTGTTGTATCATCTCGGATGTTGTGATGTCACGTCCTGATTTGACAGAATGCACGTTATGACTGTATCTGTCCTGTGTCTCCAGCTGTCATATCACCCTGGCCACGAGGACATGGTGGGCTACATCATTGACCAGTGTTTCCGACACTTCAAATACAGGGATGGATCTGTGTAAGTAGCCTCGCTGTGTGATAGTGTTAGTGTATGGAATTGATGTGTCCCCAAGTTGGCGGTTTTCTCGATGATTGATTTTTGTCTAAGGTGGTGTCTATGGAGGTGCTTGCATGCATGTGTGTATGTGCTCTTTGGGGAGACAGAGAGAGAGAGAGACAGAGAGACAGAGAGAGAGA